TGTAGAGTGTGGAGTGTGGAGTCTAAAGTGTAGAGTGTGGAGTGGAAAGTGTGGAGTGTGGAGTGTAAAGTGTGGAGTGTAAAGTGTAAAGTGTAAATTGTGGAGCTTCCCCCATAGACACGGCGACGCCACAGGAAAACCAGAGACTCGAGACGAGACACCTGGGAGCACCAAAACGAGCATTTCGTACGAGACTTCCTCCAATTTTGACACTTTCCACACGTTATCAAACAGGTTGGAATGTCACAAAGTGCCATGCCTGCCACGCAAGACGACAGGACAACCTGCTTGGAAACATTCGAAAAGGACATGTTTTCCAGCTTCCCCCATAGACACGGCGACGCCACAGGCAAACCAGCGACTCGAGACAAGACACGTGGATGCAGAAAAACCAGCATTTCGTACGAGACTTCCTACAATTTTGACATTTTTGACACATGATCAAACAGGTTGGAATGTCACAAAGTGCCACGCCTGCCACGCAAAACGACATGACAACCTGCGTGGAAACATTCGAAAAGGAGAGGTTTTGCGGCTTCCCCCATAGACTCGGCGACGCCACAGGACAACCAGCGACTCCAGACGACACACGTGGGTGCAAAAAAACGAGCATTTCGTACGAGACTTCCGGCAATTTTCAAAGTTGGCATCATGACAAAAAGACAAGTTTTGCAGCTTCCCCCATAGACACGGCGAGGCCACGGGAAAACCAGAGACGCGAGACAAGACAGGTGGGAGCACCAAAACGAGCATTTCCTGCGAGACTTCCTCCAATTTTCACACTTTGCAGCTTCAAAACCAACGTTTTCCTACGAGTTTTCCTTAGAACCTGAAAATTTGCAACCTCAAAATCGATGTTTCGTGCGAGGCTTCCGTCAATTTTCAGCGCATCGCACAAAATGCCACGCCTGCCATGGAATTTGCACCTTGTCGCCACTTGACGCAGCCCTGCCAATGCGATTTACAAAAAACACGCAACAGGACACGTCTAAAGTGCTGCGCCTGCCACGAAAAATGACGATGGACACGTCCAAAGTGCTGCGCCTGCCACGAAAACTGCAACACATCTTCTGAAAACGTCACAAAAGTATTGCGCCTGCCACGCGAAACGATTTTCAACACGTTGCAAAACACGTCTGAATGTCACGAAGTGCCACGCCTGCCACGCGAAACGAAGCAACGACACGTCTGAAACCTCCAAAAATGACCACACTGCAAAACTTCCCATAGGCACGGCCATACGGACCTCGTACGAACGGTTGCGGACGGTTGCGAACGGTTGCGAACGGTTGCGGACGCGGACGCAACGTCGAGCGAACACACTCTCAACCCCCAGACCCCCAGAGTGAAACGGGAACCCTTGCTACGCATTCGGGAAAAAAATAGTTATTCAAAGTAGTTCTATGGTGTAAATTGTTAGGCCTTAACTTGTACCTGTAAACAGTATAGCAAAAATGCGTTTTCGTTTTTTAGCAGGAAACTGCATCTTGAACTTTTTTGGGCAAAAAATGTGTTTTTGAACTTGTTTGATCAACAAATGCCAAAAAAAAGAGAGCAAAAACGTGCCTTGTTGAGAAAAACCTAGGGAACAATGTTTTGTAATCAAGATTGCTACGTATAAAAAACATGTTTCTGCAGTGTGATTTCTGCTACCGGCGCTGCTAACCGACCCGACGCTCTTGCGTTTTTTTTTTAGATGTCACTCACGCCAGTTAAAAGTTCTGCGCGTCAGTTCGAAGTTGTGCGCGTCAGTTAAGGTTATGTGCGTCAGAATAAATGTTGCAAAATCAGTTAAAAGTTGCGCACATCAGTTAGAAGTTGTGAACATCAGTAGAAAGTTGCGCGCCGATGAACTACACGTTGATGCTACGCTGATGAAATTTTACGTGCAGGTTCATGCTTCGCTGAAAAGATCTTACTTGCACGATGATGCTACATTGATGCTATGTTGATGTGATCTTGCATGCACTTTGGTGCTACGCAGATGAGATCTGTAAAGCCTGGCGGTGCAGAAGAGATTCTGAAAGGATTCAAGATGATTCAAGCAGTTATGTATGGTCCTTTGCCTGACGGTACAACCGCAAGAAGTCTGGCCAAATTGGCTGCCAAGGCTAAAGCCGACGCAAACGATGAGGCGAGATAAAAAGGGGAACGGAAAACAGTTTGCAACATCCATTTTCGAAATCCACATCTGCAGAATATTGACCCCTAAAATTGAATAATCAATGAGTAATGTCACATTGTCCTATCGTAACGTGGGACAAACTGACCATTCCTGTTGAAAGACAAAGCAACAAAATCATGATGCCACCAAAGTTTTGAGCGCATTGATGAAAAAACCATGGAATGAAAAACATCAAAAACCACGGGGCTGCTATTGGCGCCGGAACCTGACTGCTTTGATTCCTGATGATCTTGTGTCGGTGGCTTTTGCTTGTCACCTTCAATTGTGCCTCTGGGTGGGGTGGTGGTGGAAGGGGCATGGTGGTCTGCACACCTAAACAGTCGTGCTCAGCGGCGGGCACAACTTAACAGTTTGGAGTCTCGGGGTGGTCCTTGGTTCTTGATGACTTTTGTTTGTCAACTCTTGATTGCCTGGAAGCCTTGTGGCTCCAATGACAATGGGAAGGTTCGTTCCAAATATTGTGCTGCCAGCTTGGAGCACTGTGGATGCCCAGTGTTCGGTGTAGTGTCAGTCATTGTTTTGTGTGTTGCTCATGTGAGATTTGAAGGTGGAATGGGCAAGGGTGGGGGTCTTATTCTTATTGATTTCTCAAAAACAAACAATAGCAAGTTAGTTGATTAAATCATAGGACGGCAAGATGACAAAAAAAGGCATTACCAATTCTGTAGAGGCCACTAATGGAGGCCGCTGTCAAAGCCAGTCAGCGCCGAATCCTTGTTTCGGAGCACTTGGGTGGTACCGCACTTGAGACTTGAGTCTTCGACCGCTGCCTGTGAATCACAACTTGGGTCTGAGCACCCCCCCTTGCCACATGATGTCTTGCAACAAACGTCTCACGCGACAGGGAGAGGTTGCTTAGGATTAGACTCTTCAGTTATCCAACTTGAGGTTTTGCCTGCTTGTATCTGCATCACACGGCTGCTTGACAGCATTTCATTTTGCTCATTTTTGCTCTTGCTTGCCAACTTTTTGCTCATTTCCTAGATGGCGCGCATTCCAGAAAGAAGCGCCGAGTTTTCTCAAGTTGAACTGGCATCTGAAGACTTGATTTGCAAGAGGTACATGGGCACAATCAAATATAAAAAACTTGCAACCAGTGGCTGCAACCGACAGTGATGAACAGTCTTGCCGCATCAAGCCACACGGTGATGACATGGATGAAGATGTCTAAATCAGAACATGATGCTAGCTGAATCGCTGCCTGTGGGACGAAAAAACTGCAGCCTGCTGTGAATTTCATTCATGTTGACATGCAGTTCTGGGCGGTGAGAAAAGGTAAAAATCATTCCACGACGTTTATTTGCAATTTGCCAGGTAGAATCTTCGATCCCAAGACATTCACAACGACTGACCGTACTGTGAAATGCACAGAACCATGCAAAAACAAAAGCACAGCTTTGTTCTTTTCGGGGGCGCAGTCCAATGAGAGGCTTTCTTAGTTTAAGGCACGCAGTCCAGTGAGAATACAGTTTCGTGGCTTTTCAGCGTTGCAAGGCGCGAAACAGGTGGATCCATTACCCGACACATTTCTGCCATCATTCATGGCATGTGCAGATCACTGCGAACCTAAAAAGTTTTAAACATACATACATACATACATATATATATATATACATATACAAATATATATATATATACATATATATATATAGGTGTTATCTATTTTCAGACAGGGCAATCTAGTTTTAGCGTGAATGAATTGACAATGAACTAATACCAGTACCAATTCATCAAATCGTCCTGATTCCTCCCAAGTTTTGCAAGGCACCGCCTTGGCCTCCGCAATTTTGTATTATTGCCAGTGAAGCACTTGCAGCAAGATCAGCGGACCAAAACCTGGTAGTATGAATGCTGGTAACAACACGTAACAATTTTATAGTAATGACTGAATGAACCCTCTGCAAGGGAACACTCAACGCCTGTGCTTCTACTCATGTGTATTGCGTTTTGCATTTGCCGCAATGGCCTGTGCCTCCTCTCATTTTTGAATTTTCTGTCTGCCAGAATGGCCTGTGTCCACTCATTTATATGCCATTTCTCTGGTTTAAGATCTTAAGTTAGCCCAGTGTCCAGCGGCATACACTGCAGTACCACATGTAAGGTTTCGGTCATGAACCACAGCAAAAACCAAACCGTTTGGAGCAAAGCAACGCGTGTATCCCATGTTTGCGCTCGTGCTCCTGTACTTTGGTTTGACATGAAACCATATGACAACAAGAATTTACAGAGGCATTCCCTGCACTAGCACGTGTAATACTGTAAAGCTTCGAAACATGTACGCAAAAAAACGTCCCAAGCATTTCTGAGCAAACAATGTGTTTTTGAGAAAACATGTTTCCGTGCAACGTTTGGGCTCGTGCTCCTCTTCTTTGAAACCATATGAAGCCAAGACTTTGCAGAGGCACCCACTGCACCGGCACATGTAGAGCTTCTGAACATATATGTAACGTAACAAAAAAGCAACCCCGCAATCCCAAACATTTTTGAGCAAAAAATGCGTTTTGAGGAACAAAATGCGTTTTTGAGAAAAGCGAGTTTTTGAGAAAATCTGAGCAAGCAAGTGGTGTAAAAATGCGTTTTTGAGAAAATTTGATCAACAATAAGAACCAGTTGAGGCCACACGAATTAAACTACGGAACTATGTTAATGATAAGTGGGTCCAGCGCAAACAGTCATAAATACACGCACAGGCAAATACCCGATCCATGGAGATTGAGGCAAGCAAATGGAAGATGAAAGGCGATGAAACATCATGCCTGCACAAAAAAAAGAGTCAAATTCATAGAAACTATTAAAAAACATTCATGCAATGAAATCATAATGTTTCTGCACCGTTTTCATCCATTTTCTCTGGCGCAGCTCTGCAGCTCTGCAGCTCCGCCCAGTATTCAGAAAGCATCTCCTCAAGCCGAAGGAGCCAGGATCCCACGCGGCCGGGGATCCAAATTGCGCTTTGGGTCAAATATGAATCAACTGACTCAACAGGCAACACTGGCAACACTGGCAACACTGGCATTTGTCTGAAATTCGTGTTTTGAATGGGGTGCTGGTCGAGTCGATCTCAGGACTACATGGACCAGAGCATAATATCAGAGATAAAGAAGTCAACCAAAGCGGAGGGTATAGTCAAACATGTGAAATCATCAAACCGGCGTCAAGTCTTCTATACACAATGGGAAAATATGGGAAAATGATGGAACATCAACTGTGCAAAAAGGTCAATGGCATCCCAAAGAGGATACCTTTGGTATGGCAACGTCTCATCTTCCACCAAGTGACAAATGTGCCACCCACCGGCACACCATCGTTGCTCCTCTGACCAGCCCACCTCTCCTCGAAGGCTTGCGAAACTGTGAACACTGGAAATGTTGCCAAGGCTACAAGGGAGTAAACAACTCTGCCTCCAACAAATCATGCTTGGATATGCTTGGTCATTTGTTCACGTGGGTCTGCTGCAGCTCAAGCTCCAAGCTCTGCAGGTTTTGTTCTGCACCGGCTGGAAAGGAAGCAATTCCTGGGCTGTGCCAAAACCATCATGTGCCACGGCGTGCCAATGTCACGGAAAACCAAGCTGCTCGATTCTGGTCCAGCTGTCAAAAGTTCCGCTCTGAGATCCTAGGAGCAAAGATGAGCAAAGGTTTAAAGAGCAAAACTTTCACTGTCAAGTCGCAGCTTTGCAAGCTTTGCAGCTTTGCAGTGTGAGCAAAAAATCTGGTTCTGTCTGTCTCTCTGTGCTTCGTGTTTTGTCTCGAAATCGTCTAAGCTTCAGAAAGCCCTTCGGCTGAAAGTTCTGGGTGGGAACTCAGTAGCCAAGCAGTGCAGCTCAAACGGACCTAGGTGGAAACCAAGATGAAACACGAAGTCATTGAACTCTGTTGGAGGAAGTTTTGCAATGCAAACATAAAATGAAACGTATGAAACATGATGAAACCATGATTATTCAGGTGTACTGATTTCACGTGCAATGCATGAAGTCCTTGGCACTATGAGGACAAGAGTGTGCACTGTTTTGCGCAGCGCGGGAATGTGGCAAAGATGCGTGACACAAGCAGAGAAGAACCGGAGAACGGAAAGGATAACAATAAACCGTAATCATCTCTAGAATTCTCTAGACATCTCTAGACCATGATAAATGTGGAATTCCAAAAGGCTCCCAAGAGGACTTGGAAAACAGGAGTCTTCTCTCTTGACAAAGTATACCTTTGCATCGCAAAGCGCTTCTTGCAAGAAAAAAATCCAGGTCGAACAGCGCAGGAAAAATACAAGAACCGCATTTCGAGATGAGGCGAAATCTGACAAGTAACTAGAGCAGCCCCAAGCCATGTGGAAGCATCTGAGGGAGATTGGAAAGGAACGCAGTAGTCACCACCATCCTGACATCAGAAAATTCCACAACAACAAAAACAATGCACATTGAGTGAACACATGTGAACACTACGTAACACGGATTGAATCTGATTGTTCTTTAGAGAAGCGGATGAAACTCTTGCTATGAACCGGCTAGGCGGTTAGGCGGCTAGGCGAGTTAAGGGACAGCTGGGGGAACCCTGTCCTCTGTGTGGAACCAATGCAAACGGCTCATGAACACAAAGCAGCTTTGCAGCCCACCTGTAAGGACATTCGGCTTGTGAAGAACAATTTCAATGGTTATAGTTTTGTTCCAGGCATCTTTTGCAAAAAAACCCTCAGCAACACGCGTGTTACGGGTCGCCTGCGCTAATTGTGTGTGAAATTGGTAAGTTGCAATTTACTTTTGCAGTCTCAGCACTGTTCAGCCAATGATTGTGGGGATCCAAGCCAGTTGAAAATTTTTCGGACTTATTCCTTGAGATGCCCTGCAATCCTGGCTGTAAACAGCGACGCGAAATGCCAAACGTCATGAGACCCACTACAATAGTCTGTCTCAGGCCCACCCACAAGCAGAAGGGCTCCAAGCAATGCTTCGAGCGCATCTGCTGGCACCTTCGGCGAAGATTCAGACAATTCCAAAACTCGAATGCGACCAAGGCAGTGTACAAGTCATCTATCATACTTCAAAGGATCAGCAACAGGATAGATAGATAGAAAGATAGATAGATAGATAGACAGATAGATAGATAGATAGGTAGATAGATAGATAGATTGATTGATTGATAGATAGGTAGATAGATAGATCTATCTAATCTATATAATCTAATCTAATCGAATCTAATCTAAATCTAATCTAATCTAATCCATCTATCTATCTATCTATCTATCTGTCCACCTACCTATCTATTTGTCGACAGCTCAGCGTCCAAAAGTGGTCCGAGTGTGGTGTGTTTTTTGGCCAGTTTGACTTCGAAATGTGCTCCGCGCCGCAATTTCGACATCTCAACTTCCAAAAGTGATCCGTGCGCGGTGTGTTTTACGCATTTTGACTTCGAAATGTGCTTCGCGCCATAACGACGTGTGCTTTTTGAACACCTCAGCTTCTGAAAGTGTTCGGGAAACTTCGAAATGTGCTTCGCGCCACAACAGCGTGCACTTTTTGAAGAAGTAAGCTGCCAAAAATGCGCCGAAGCTGATTCGAAGTGCTTTTAACATTTTGGCTTGGACATGGCTTCGAAATATACTTCGCGCCACAGCCGCGTGCACTTTTTAAAGAGCTCAACTTCCACAAGTGCTCCGACAATGGGGTGTTTTCAGCAATTTGAATGCGGCGTGCAATTGTCGATCTTTCATCTTACAGTACCCCTCCTTTTCGACCCTCCAGGGCCACAAAACATCGGAAAAGCTTAGGAGGCTTCTCTACCATGATTTTCATAAGCCCAATTGTCAGACATACCTGCCTGCTGACACTCAACTGCCACGCTGAAACAACACACCTGCCACATTGACTGACACACAGACGGGGCACAACTGCCACACTAAAACGACCAACTGCCACACACCTGCCGCCCTCTCTGACAGACAGACCGGGCACATTGCCACACTGAAACGACCAACTGCCACACACCTAACTGCCACACACCTGCCTGCCACACACCTGCCACACATTTGCAACACACCTGCCACTCTTGTCTTCTTGAACCAACTGCAATATTTAACAAAACAACAAAAATCAATGTTTAATCTAATTTGGCAAAGACCGAAGACGCATGACTAAAATTGTTACTATGAATAATTCGGAAAATGAATAGTTTACTCACGCTTACCTAGCTTACCTGTTTACTTTGTTTTTCTTTCATGCATTATCAAAAACCGGTTTTTGAAAAATGCATTGCTGACTCCTGGACTATTCTCCTGATTTTTTGTTTTGCTAAACCAATGCTGAATACTAGTAACATACAGGCCAACACGCAAAAGGACAGTGATATGAAAATATTTTGGTGAACCAATGGATTAACCCAAGGCTGGCTTGAGTTGGAAAAAGTAAACCAACCTGAATTGAATTGGCATGAACGCTGACACGGAAACAGAGAGTGAACAATGTCTATGTTTATTCTCTCTTTTTTCCTTCTTCAAATTTCTATATGATTTCCAACTATCTTGCATTCCGAAGGCCAAGTTTTATTCAACTTTACTAAATTGAAGGGTTAGGGGTAGTTTGGGAAGATAGTTAGCGGGTTGGGGAAGGGTTGTGGGAAAGGGTTGGTGGGAAGGTTTTGGGGTTTGGTAAGGAGGGGTTGGGAGAGCCGGGGCAGGGCTTCGGGGGAAGGGTTGGGGGACAATTCTTGGTGGCAAATGTATCCTCTTTAGTGTGGCAGAACAACCCTTTTTGGTGTGGCAGGTGGACCTGCCACATGTGGCAGGTGGAGCTGCCACGTGTGGCAGGTGGAGCTGCCATGTGTGGCAGGTGGAGCTGCCACGTGTGGCAGGTTGGACCTGCCACGTGTGGCAGGTGGACCTAATCTGCCACACCTCCAGGTCCCAAGCCGCATCCCACACCTCAATTTGCGACAGCCCCAGGCCCACACCCAAACTTGCCAGACCTCCAACACCTCAACTTGCATCCCCACCACATCTCGACCAAGCCTCAACCAGGCCTCAACCTGGCATACCTGCCGCACCCCAAAGTGTCATTTACCTCAACCCAACTTGCCCACCCTCCATTTCCAAGAAGTAAATTTTCAAAATAGAAGAGTTCCATAGTCCCTTCCTCCTAATACTAAACGTCCCCCAAACTCTAAAATCAAGCGTCCATTTCCAATTTCAGACAATTTCTGATTGACCAATTTGTTTTTTAATTGATCCCCTTTAGAAAACAATTTAAACAGCAACCTACCATTTGTGGGTTTTCCCCCCCAATACTAAAAACTAGTTCGCCCCGAGGTGTTTATTATTAGGGTCCATCCGATTTGTTTAAGTCTTTTATATTAAGGTTTTTAATTTCGTATCAGGGGGAAGAATCGAAATCAAATTTTTGACAGTATTTTAATTGCGTTATATAAAGAAATTTACAGCAATTGATTTTGAAATCGGAAAAAATAGTTCCCCACCTGCCAGGTGAGGGTTGTTCGATTTTATCACAGTTGTTCTTCTCCTCCTCGGCTAGCTGTCCTCCTACTCCTCCTCCTCCTGCTTCTCCTCCTCCTCTTCTACCACCTCTGCTTCCACTTCCACGTCCACTGTTGCCTTGCCAACTCTTCGCCAAGCTCTTCGCCAAGCTCTTCGCCAACGTCCGAGCTCAGTGTGCACCGCTGGACCTCAACCTGGGACCTGCCCAGCTCAGTGTGCACCGCTGGACCCTGCTCAGCTCAGTGTGCACCGCTGGACCTCAACCTGAGACCTTCCCAGCTCAGTGTGCACCGCTGGACCTCAACCTGGGACCTGCTCAGCTCAGTGTGCACCGCTGGACCTCAACCTGGGACCTGCTCAGCTCAGTGTGCACCGCTGGACCTCAACCTGAGACCTGCCCAGCTCAGTGTGCACCGCTGGACCTCAACGGCCAGATAGAATGCCAGAAAAGATGCCAGATAGAATGTCAGATAGAATGCTAGAAGATATGCCAGATAAAATGCCATGAGATATGCCAGATAGAGTGCCAGAAGATATGCCAGAAGATTTGTCAGTAACAAAACGTATAAATGTCATGGTGGGGATCACTCGAATTAAAGTAATTTTTATTATTAAGGGTTTTAATTTAATAATAAGGGGAAGGTTCGAAATCCAATTTTTGGCAATATTTTAATTGCGTTATATAAAGAAATTGAATTGATTTTGAGATCGGAAAAATAGTTTTGATTATTAAGGGTTCTAATTTTATCAAAAACGTTCCCTAATAATAAATACCACCTACCTGCCGTGTTCAGTAATAAGGGGGGGGGGCGGCTTTTAGTATTAGGAGGAAGGGATTATTTTTGAGCGTTCAAGCCTGATTTTTGAATCTTGGGCTTGATAAATGTGTGCTCAAAAACCTTCGAAACACACTTTGGACCAAAACTATCCCTGGCGCTTCTCCCACAAGATTTTGCATTTATTCTTTTTGTCCTGGCACTCCGCTTATATTTCATCCATGTTTCCATTCAAAACGGAACATGTCTGTTACACACAGGCTTGTTGTGCACAGATTGTGTTTTAAGAATTTCTTTGGGGTTATCGAACAGCATCAAATCAAAACTTCAAAACTGAAGATTGGTGGTGATGATGAGTTTGAACGTTTGATCATATTTGGGGCGGAAGGAAATGGGGTTGTCCAAAATATTGTATTTTATATATCTATCATTATCTATCTCTTGGTCCTTCTCGAGATGGTCAAATGCAAACTCATTGGTGCTTTTATATATTTTAATATATCCTAACATTCTTGGAAATGTGATTATGGTTATAATACCTATAATGTGTCATCATGGCACCACACTGTGAGTGCAAGCATTAAAAAAAGAGAGGGCTGTAGCAGGCTGGCAGCAGTGATAGAATGTAGGCGATGGCAGCAAAGGTGAGAGTGTAGCGTAGTGTAGCAGCAGGCGTGGCAGTAGTAGAGCTAGGGTGTGGCAACAAGGGTGGCGGTAGGAGAGCTTAGACGTGGCAGTAGTAGAGCTGGAGCGTGGCAATAATAGAGCCGGGGTGTGGCAACAGCCATGGCCTGTAGCAGAGCCGTAGAATTGCTGAGGCGTGGCAGCAGTGTGGCGGTAACAGCTTGCAACTGACAATTCTCCCCACAAAAAGGTACCAGGAATCTCCAGGCCCTAAGGAAAAGCATGATTCTTCTCTTCTCTGACTGCTATCACCAATGTTGCTGCATCTGTCCAAATTATTAAAAAAGGATCCGGCAGAATGGAATGGCGGGTGGGGCACATCCTCTTGCAGAAATGGCCTGCCTTCTGGCCCATTGGCGGTGGCTCTTTCTTCGCAGCAATAGGAACTGAGAGCACGAAGAGATATGGAAAGATATGGCAAGACACAAAACCGAGCAAAGAGAGCCACGGTGGTGAACCCAGGAGCCCCAGCAAATAAGCGCATACAAAGTGAATCGGGACACCTCCTTAACAGTAGATGAAATCTGCTCAGTCCATAAACCCAATCTCTAAACATCCTGCCTGTGTTGAGAAACCTCTCCAAGCCAAAAGAAGAAGCTACTTTGGCAAGGCACCTGCCGCTACATCCGAAGAGCGAGGAATGAGTTCTCATGTCAATGCTGCAGAGTATTTGCTTCCAGCAGTTGAAGAAGCCGTGCGATTCTTACAAGCACGCTCAGCAGGGAGAAATTGTTTGCGAACGTGCCTCCAGAAATTCTTTTCCGGAATGGAAGGAGGTAATATGTAGCTGATGAAAATGGTTTCCCTAACCAATTTCTGTTGATTTTAGCGGATCGAGCATTCTTGGCCTGGTTTCTGTCCAGCATCGCACAAACTCAAAATAACCCGCACAGAATATCACAGAATATCACAGAATGTCACTGGCTCCCGCATGACATACATGACCTGTTAGAGATCAGGGCGGCTGCTCTTCTTTGCCGAAGCTCCAGTGGACCTTCCTGCGGAGAAGGTTTCAGCTTGGGGGCACGAGTTGAATCACAGTTAACCTATGCACATCTTGTGGCGGCACCTGGCCTCTTTGCACTCCAAAGTCACTGCGATGAAAAAAACAACCTTGGCAAGGTGCAAACCCACGACTAAAGTATGACAGAGCCGGAGAGAATACATAATGGGCACCGAATGACCTCAAACATTCTTTTGTGGCAGGGGCTGATGCGCAAAAACTCAACACATAAAATATACATGAAATTTGCAGAAATAATCGAAGACAGTTTAGAAGTCAAACTTCCGACAATATGGACAGATGAAAAAGCAGAGGTGGAAAGAATCAGAGAGGAGAAGAAGAAAGAATATCAGAGAAGAAGAAAGTCAGAAAAAAGAAGATGCAGGCACGCGCGAAAAGGTAGAAAAGTCGCGATTCACTCTGTTTTTCCAATGAGTTGTGGCTCTGGAGGGTCGAAAAGTAGGCTCGCTAAAGCGGCGGGCGCGGAGCCATCTGGCCAAATGAGAGATGAAAAATTGCACGTCGTTGTGGCACGAAGCACATGTCAATGTCAAAAACACAATTATCGGAGCACTTTTGGAAGTTGAGATGTTGAAAAAGCGCACGCCGTTGTAGCGCGAAGCGCATGTCGAAGCGAAAAGTGTAAAGGCTGATGGTCTCAGACCGCTTTTTGGAAGTTGAGCTGTTGAAAAAGGAAAAAAAACACACCAGGTTCGGAGCACTTTTGGAGGTGGAGATGTGCAAAAAGTGCATGCAGTTGCGGTGCGAAGCACATTTCCAAGTCAAAATGGTAAAAACACCAAATGCTCGAATCACTTTTGGACGTTCACGACACGACCACAACAACTACAGCTACAAGTACAACTACCACTACAAACACAACTGCCAGTACCCTATACAACTACAACTAAAACTACAACGGACACTAAAACTACAACTACACTACGTTACACTACACAAATTACACTACAACTACAACTGTAACTACAGAAATAACTACACTAATTACAGTATGCTACAACTACATACAGCTACAACAACTACTACACTACATTACATTACACTACTGTACGCTACACTAATGACACTATATACGCTACACTACACTAAATTACACGACGCTACGCTACACTATAGCTACGCTACACAACACTACACTTTGTACACTACATTAATCAATAACTATGACTATACATTATGTTAGTTACGCTACAACTACAACTACACTACACTACAACACACTAATTACACCACTACCACAAATACAACTGCAACAACTACACCGCAAATACAACTACAACAACTACACCACAACTACAACGACAACAACAAGTACTACAACTACTACAACTACTACAACTACTAAAACTACTACAACTACTAAAACTACTAGAGCTACCACAACTACAACTACATTACGCTACATTACACTGCATTACGCTACACTACCCTAGCCATAGTACACTGATTACACTACACTAGCTACACTACACTACGCTACAGCACAAAACGCTACAGCTACAACTACAACTACACTAATTACACTACACTACAACTGAAGCTGCGCTACCTTGCACTACCTCGCACTACACTACGCTACGCTACACTCGACTACTCTACGCTACACTACACCGCACTAATTACACTTCGCTAGTGAAACTACAGCTATAACTACACTACACTACAACTACAAGTACAACTACAAGGCAACTACAACAACTACTACAACTACTACAACTACAACTACAACTACACTACACCACACTACATCCAGCTGTTGTGGTTGAGGTGACCACTGCAACCACTCCAAAAGACACAGCTCCAACCAGCTTTCGGTCCATCAGTGGGTTTGCTCTGCCATCCATGCATCACAACAACTCACCCTTCCTATAATTTCCTATCTTTGAAACTTCCGCCACCGCCTTGTGCGGTACTACTGGTATACATGAGTTTTAAGCACTGACAAGCAAGCACAGCGCGACAAGTACCAAATACCAAGGATGGCATCGGACCACATGGGCCCCTCAGTGGAGCAACTGCATCGCCCAGCCAAGCAAGTCGAGTGAAGTCATACGGCTCTTCTGCGCCAGTGCCTGTTGTTGCCACCTCCAGAATCCATTCCATCTCGACCTATGGCATGACTAGAAGAACACGAAGTGTAACAGCAAACGCGAAGGATTGCAAGGTATGAATATCAGGGCTCTGCGCCACCACTGAATCGTCTTATTTCAACTTTACAGCTACAGCTTCGTTTTGCAGAAGTTCCTGGATATTTCTGATGCCTTCGAAAGGAGATGAGAGGCGGTCTCCTTCCAGGGTTGGAACTCGACTCACAAACCCAAAGCGACATCAGTCAGATCCAGGTTCTCTCAGGAAAAGGCTTCGTCAGAAGCAAGTATACTGATGTTTGCAGCCTTTCGAAGTAGGGGTTGTGACGTTTGTGACCTTTGGCTGCTATCGGGTTTTGTGACTTTAACGGCTTCAATGAATGAGAGGTTCGCAACCCTATATGTAAAATATCAACTGGCGGGACTCCCGATAGCGCGCTAGACTCAAGGGACCTTTGATCCATAAAGGCCCGGAGAAACACACACGCACACAGCATTAAACATGTACAAGTTTCGCAACCTGGTATCGCCTATCGAAATCTAGCACAGATTAGCACACATCCTACTTTACAGGTGTGAAACTATGAGAAATGAATTTAGCCTGATTCCTGCGTCTTTTTCTCTTTCTGGGCAAGTTCTATGCAGTAGCGGTTCGTATGTAGAACCGTCAATGAAAGGTCAGGCTTCATGGGTTTGGTCAGCAATCTGCCACCATGGTAATAAGCGTATGGATCCAGAGAAGTTTGTCTCCTCCTTCTGGAAACTTCTCGCTGGTTTCCCTGTCATCTTCATCTCGGAATGACTTTCGCATAGATCTCATTTCAATCTCCAAAGGTTTGTCTTGGATCTTCGCCAGGAGGTGTGAGTTCAAATCAATCACGAGCAACAAACCATCACAGAGACTTAGCTGCGGACAGCGTCGATTTATGGTTGGTGCGGTGCTTGTTTGACTTTGCATTTATATACTTTTTGTTAAGGGTTTTATGTGTCATTCTAGGGCTTAGTTGGAGGTGTTTGGATGTTTGTTTCTGGTGCTTCTTTCAATATGTTTTAGGGATGTTCATGCAGTACGGCTGGTTTAGTTTAGGTTTTATCGAGGGTAGGTTTGTGGCCTATTCAAGGTTGCTCCGGAGATCAATGGATGAGGACCAGGATGAGGAGGGTAAAGTAATTGTCCCTGGGTCCGTCGGTCTGACCCAAGGACCCAGAGGGGACCAAAGAGGATGAAAGGACCAGAGGACGACAGGACCAGGGGACCAAAGGATCAGGGGAACCTGAAATTGTTTTTCCAATAATTTTATACTTTTTTTCCAAGGTCCTAATTGTTTTTCCAGGAAGGAAGCGTGATTTTTTTCCGCAAATTATCCGTTCAAAATGTCTTCGCAAATTGGCTGGCAAGTCATCTAGCGAATCTCTTGGATCTGGCCATGCTGATGGTTGTGATTGGTGTGTCCGCGGCTCTCCCTGCTGCGAACTGGGTTCCTCCCATTCGTGCGACTGCATAACTCCTTCCAAAATGGGGGTGCTCGCAATTTCTCCGGGGAAAATTGACGGGTACGGATCTGGCCGCTACCCTCGTTCTTGAATTTTCCGGTCACGGTCCTGGGTCTGACACTTCTCAGCCGGAAAGTCGTAGCGCGTCTAGCCCGTGAACTTTGACAAGCTGGTTTCTCAACCTCGTCATCTAGCGCATCATCGTCATTAAAGATACCAACCGGGTTTGGAATGGGGAATCGATACGCCAGCAGGATTGACTTCTTCATCCTCTGCAATTGCCTCTTCCTGCTCAGCATCGGAATCCGGAAGCCTCGCATCAACGAAGCGCTGGTCCTCTCCAACCGGGAGTGAAAGGTTCTCGATTCAGAATGGATCTTGCAAGTGCTTCAGCATCGTTTGCAAGAAGCAAACTAGTGAGCAAGTACTGGGGTGTTTTCGCAAATTACCCACACGTCGCGGTCACCTTCGTGTCCTATCACTGCACACGAGATGCCACGCTCCATCTAGTCTTTCCTCCGGTGCTGTTGTCCTTACGGAAGCAAACAATGCCCTCCAACGGAGTCCTTCATTGTGATTGGGCTTGCGTTCTTGAGCATTGCTCTTTGCACACGCCTGGAAGTATCAAGTTGCACTTAAGCTTGGCGAACTTCGGCTCGTGCAACATGTTTCAAGAAAAAGACACTTTCAGGATCCACTTGCTCCTCAATGGCTCCTAAGTCAGCAAGGGATTCCTCATTGAGGATATAGAATTAGAAGGAAATCCTCGAGGGGTTTGTCCTAGTACCCATTGGCATGGGCTGAATCCGCCGTGCCTGGCAATGCTATTCTTTACACATCCTACTTTGTTCAAGACAGCTTGGGCCTGCTCAAGTCTGTAAGGTTGTGCTTCAGCACATGTCTTCTTGAACAAAGCTTTTGCTATGCCGCCATGCCCCTCAACACGTCCAATTGCAGTCGGGTCTCAAGTGGTGCTGAACGGACTTGCACTCCATGAGCTCCCAGGTATCGGTTGAGGATTCCCCTGAAATGAAATCCTCGGTCACTCACAAGTTGTTTCGGCTGTCCGGCCCAAGAGAACCAACGAGCACTAAGTGCCTTGAGTACCTAAGAACTCGTGGCGTTTTTGCCTTTTCTGGTCACATGCAACAAGTGGAATGTTGTGCCCATGTCAACCATGTTCAACATGGTGTGGCATCTCCCGGCAAAGTCGAGTCGCAAGGCAAGCATTGAATCGGTATTCATATGGCAACGAAGTCTTGTGGCTTCTAGGCTTGTCAGCATTGTCCTCGCATGTCGTGCAACGGTGCAGTTCACAACCTCAACACAAGACTTTTGACCTCTAGCCGCCCTCAGAAGTTTGATTCAAGGTTTTTGGAGCAATGGTAAAATCGACGACGCAACCTACGCACAGCTACCTGACACACCCGTGGCAGCTTGCGCCATGCAGCTCGGCGTTCGGCTTCTTGCTGTGGTAGTCCTGCCACGTCAACGGTGTCCAACAAAATCTGTTCTGCAATCATGTTTTCACTCACATGTCCCTGGTCCATGTCTTCTATAGCAGAGTCCAGAAAATCTTGCTCCCTGGCTTCTTGGATCATGTCGGCAGGAAATGCTACCCGCATCATGCTTTTTATATGACATTCCTCACCCAGATGCAAACTTGTTCAACAAAGTCAAAAGTGAAGAGATCTTGATGGTCCTTTTGCAGGCCATACTATGGATCTCGTACTTCAGCCCATACTGTGATCTGCAGTTCAATGGCCTTGTCACTGGTAGTCGCAGATGGCTGGGGTATCCTGGATACCATAATGATCCCACCTGCGGGTCTCGAGATAATCCACATTCATCCAGCGTGCGCCTGAAGATGCCTGAAGCCTCACAGTGGGATTGAGCCTCTGTCAAAAGCTTGGCATGTTTGAGCGCATGTTTTCCAAATCATCATCTCCATCATACCAAATAATAATGGCAAAACCAACCTCATCAATCCCAATGAGAGCGTCCCAAAGGTCTGAATGAACCTTGTCCTCTGTGACGTGTTCGGCGTTCCATCTGACGTTAGTTGTCCTGACGGCTTGATGAGCGTGCAAGTGGGGGTGTAAAGTGAAAACCAGAATGTGAGGTTCCATGGGATCTGGAAAATCCCTCAGGCCCATCATCCCTTGGACAACCTTGTCATGCAAGTTCAAACGTTCGATATTGGCTTCAAATTCCTTTCGACGACGTTTGGACATAGTCGCATGTGTCTCAGGAGGTTTGACACTGCTAGAATCGTTGCTCGAACTGCTACGGAGTATCCCAACATTGCAAACGTGTTCAAACTTGGGTACAGTCAGATCGTGATCCAGACAAGGGTGGTCACCATTGGGAAGCTTTTCATTGTTAGAATTGATTAATTCCTGGGTGTGCTCTGGCATGGTTCTTGGGCTTGAAAGTACTGGAATGTGAATCATCCCCTGAGCTACTTGACATATCTTCCTCCTTCGGTACTGTTGTAGGGGTCTCTCCCAAATCAACGTTCATCTGAACTATAGAACTTCCCCAAATCTCTGAAGTTTTCCTGGTTTTGGGGCCCTTTCAAAAATTAAATGCCCTCACACAACGATGTGGCGCTGTATGCTCCATCAGCAGGCAGCTGTAGGAAGATCGTCGATGTACTCCGCCCGGCACAGTCGTCTTTATAGAATTACTCCCGCTTGAAAAGCCCCCACTGATTTTCGAGTAGCATGAAGGAAGATTTGCGCCATGTGTTCGTCCATGGTGGATACTTGGTTCCAGTGGAATTAAACTTGCCTCGCACTTTGATAGAAACACGGATGTTCGTTCTCGTACTTCGTTCGATCTGGGCCGAGCCAAATGATTCGTAACAAGTTGTCTATACCTCATCTGAAGTGCATTCGGACGGCTGGAAGCGATAGTAGGTCACTCCTTGAGGGATGTAACACGGAGCTCACACTGTTTAGCCGAGGGTCGGTCATCAATTTATACGTGCAGATCTGGTGGCTCAGCGTGACGACGAAGGTATAGGCTCCTTGTGTGCGTCGTCGATATGTCTGGGTCTTCCCAACGAACGAAGTTCCGCCCGGCCACGAGGTGGCAAACTGCGCCTCTCACGATGACGAGACAGTGATCTCGAACTCCTCGATCCTTCTCCCTGGAGCACTCCGCTCACGTGAACGCAACCGAAGGCTTTTGTCGATCATCCCAGTCCTATACATATCATTCTCCTGCCTCAATTGGCGGATGGTCTTGGCCTTTTCGCACAATGTTTCATCCATTGCGGCCATCAAACGATGCATGTCTTCCATTTCGGTGTGTGTGTGTGGGTGTGTGGGTGTGGGTGTGGCCGGCTTGCTGACTCAGCCCCAGCAGGTGGTGCGCTAGCTGATGATGAACGTGGTCTAGCAGGCGGTAGTGTGACATCTCTTGAAGATCCACCAGGCATTTGGGGCTGCAGTAAAGAGTCCGCAGTACCATATCCACTCCAGCGGGTGCAGGTGCTTCAGATGCTACACCACGTCCTGAAGCCAACGCGCGGCGTTCATACTCAGTGGCATCTGTGATGCATGGTGTAGAGCACCAATGGAATCCATGGCAGTTTCCACCACAGCGCATCGTCGCCCACTGTTCCTGCCCATTCAAAGTGATGTTACTTGTAGTCAATGTCAGACAGTACGAACATCAGCGTGGCACAAGCCACAGACCTGTGTCTGTTGCATTGGCAGTTGAAGTACAGCGCACACCCATTGCTATGCCGTTCGATACCATAGTCCCGTTTTGAAGCAACGAAATAGCTGCTTGGAGTTGGTATTCTTAATGCCTCTGATGACCTTCCAACATGACTAGAATAGTGCCCAGCATTGGGGCTCCAAAACCAAAAGGATCGACAGTCGATTCCTAACCTGGTCGGCGATGTTGGGTCGGCCAAACTCAGCATGCCGGCAATCAGCAGCTGTGGGATACTCAGGCCACCGGCCATGGAACCAGCCATCACTCACCGGCCATGGAGCCAGCCATCGCTGCAGGGAAGGCAGGTGCAGGTCGAAACTTCCTAAAGAATTTGAACACATTGGGGCTGGTTCCTCATTGTTGGCATGTTTCTTCAGGGCATGTATTCCTTCGGTCAAATTGCTGAGCAGCAAGCCATGCAGCATTACTGCACTTGTACAAAAAAAATGTCTCTTCGAATGCCATCATGCGTCACGCTGCACGTGTCATGTTCCAAATCCTTGATCATGCCTAGAGTACCTTGAGCATACAGTGACAACAGCATTGTGGTGCTTCCTTGGTCGACGCCGTACGATTCACAATGCCCTTTGACTGTTTCACGATTTGCAGCCAAAAGTGCCATTGCCATCGGCGAGTATCCAGGGTATTTGTCTCGACACCAATCCCTACAAAGGAAGTTGTGTCACGGCCATTTGAACTCTAGTCCCAAACGTTTCAACTTCTCATTGCACATCTTTCCACATTGTGCACTGTGTCTGTGCTCTTAGCCTTCATCAAGAGCACCGTTGCACAACGTGTTGAGGAGACCGCCGGGTCTGCCTTGCATGTGCATCACTAGTCCAGAGGCATCCAACAGGTTTCCAAACCCTGATCTCCAATGGCATCAAGATTGGGATGTAGGAAGAATTATCGGGACCAAGAGCCTCCATGGGTGCGGCTGCAAATCAGACTACAGGAGACGTTCTGTTGTCATTGCCTGAAAAGTGGATGTCATGAATCCAAATGATCCCAACATCTGTACAATTCGGTGATTCCTGGATTCCATTGGCACTTAAATGATGAAACATTTACACTGTTTACAAAACATCCTAAATGTTTTCTTCGAACTTCCACGCGGTGGTCCACTTTCTCATGAGGGCATTCATGAAACGGATGCTATCATAGGTCATCCCGTCGCTGAACACTGAAATGTCCACAAGCACGGCAGATTCTCTTGATGGTGTAGGCTGTGCTACCTTCACGTGTGAACTCAGTAAAAAATGCACACTTCTGTTCCAATGGTGGGTTTGGAGGTTTCGTCTTGGCGGCGCTCTTGAACTTGGGTTTTGGCCATGGTTGCTCAGAAACTGGCCCTCAATAGGCAGGTCACGCCACCATCCACCCCGATCCCACCCGCCCCCAAACCTAAATGTCGCAGCGCGCGGGATTCTTTTTTCGCAACGCAGAGAGATGAAGCCGCGCAGAGCAACATTCAGGCAGTGCTTCAATTGCTGCTGACACCACCACCAAACAAACAAACAAACAGACAAACAAACAAACAAACAGACAGACAGACAGACAGACAAACAAACAAACAAACAAAACAAAACAAAACAAAACAAAGAAACAAACAAACAAACAAACAAACAAACCAAAAAAACAAACAAACAAACAAACAAAACCAAACCAAACCAAACCAAACCAACCAACCAACAAACAAACAACAGCAGCAACACCAAGGTCAGCATCAAACAATGCCTCAAGCAACATCATCCAACAACAACATGAAACATCAATAACATCAGCATCAGCAACCGTCGGTGCGCTGGACGCCCGCGGGCCAGGATCGCACAAGCACCATCACCGCCTGAGGATTCAGGACAACAAGTGTGCAACCATGGCAGCCTTAGCTGATTGGCAGTCTTTCTCTTGCCATTTGTAAAGCGACAAGCGGGGTCACCAGCCCAATGACCAGTAGTTCGGCTCGCATCGGTTTGCTCAACTGAGCCGAACTGTCATCGGCGTCTTCGACCAACGTGCGATTCAATATATTCGGCAGGCTGTCAAGCCAAGATATCTCCACGTTGTTGGCCAAGACGCAAGAAAGGTTCTTTGGCTTCTTCACTTGCTCCTGGGAACACCTTTTCCTTCACTCGTTTGACAAAGTTGCGGATACCTTTGTCTGCAACAAGGGAAGATATTCCCATGTCTCTGACTATCAATGAGGCATTAGTCCTTCTATGATTTTGAAACCAAGGTATACCGATCAGTAGGGCCCGAATTTGAATCCAGCCACACGCATTGTGGTTCATGAGGATCTGCGATTTCAACCATTCTTGCAGAGTTTGGGGCATACGCCCTGTAAGATCCCTGGAGCCAGGCAAGGACCAGCTCCGCTACCAATATCAAACTGGCGGGACTCACAGGCAAGATTTTTCCCGATAACGCGCTAGACTCAAGGGCCCTTTGACCCATAAAGGCCTGGCGAAACACACAGGTCATTACACGTACAAGTTTCACACCCTGGTATCGCCTATAGAAAGCTACCACAGGTTCAGACAAAGGTTTAAAGCCTTCCAATTTGAAGACCCCCTAGATTTCCGGGTCGCTCGTGATTATCCAGCCCGCTCACAAAGGGATGGTGTTCGAGGGCATTAGCGTCGTATTTTACCAAGTACAAAGTCGTTGCAAAGCGTCTGTCACCTATGCCTGCCCAGAAGCCTGCGAAAATCTTCACCTAGCAGAAAACACGTGTCCCTGCTTTGGCCGTCTGTGAATTTTCCATGATTTTACCTTGGTACCTTGTTCATAAATTCAGCTTTGAGCGCGCCCTGCTTCATACCCTGGCATGACAAGACTGAACGACCGCGTGCAATCCAGGGATATCTGAATAAACAAAATCATATGAACATGAATTCTACTGAGCGTCTCAGATGTCTCGCTGTGTCGATATCTGACTCTTGATGTCTCTCGTCCCGTCTCCTGGTCTTGATCGGCATGATCGACTTGAAACTCGCTGAGGCGCTGAAGCAGCCGCCGCTCCTCTTCTAAGGCATGCCGGCG